CCTCCCCTGTTCATGCTCTGTCTCTCTCTGTCTCAAAAATAAATAAACGTTAAAAAAAATTAAAAAAAAATAAAGTGGTGCGAACAAACTTTAACACCTTGATGAAGCAAATGGTCTCCTTTTGGGGAATTGCAAAATGGGGCAGAAGGCAGGAAGCTTTTAGAGGATAAAGAACAAGGAAAAAAAAAAGAAAACATCTGATTGCCTGGGGTCACATAGTCCACTTTGGGGTGAGAAGGCACAGAATGGGCTTGGGGTTTGGAGATCCTCTGCTCTGGATATGCTGTGTTTCTGGCAAGGGGAGCATTTACTGGGACACAGAAGGTACCTACAGTTTGGTTGCTGACATGACAGAGAGGGCGGCCGCAGCTCCATCGTGATCCAGAAATTTCCTTCAACAACACTGTCAATGAAGAGTTAGAAGATAAAATTGAAAAATGAATACCATTTACCATCCAATGAAAAACATTACATTTTTAAGGGATACATTTCATGAACTGTACAAAATGTTACTAACAATTACAAAACATTGCTGAGCGGAGTTAAAGACCTAAATAACCGAAAAAATAAGCCATGTTTGTGATTTGGAATACCTAATATTTTTGTAAATTAAAAAATTTTTTTTTATTTTAGAGATAGAGTATGAGCTGGGGACAGGGGCAGACAGAGAGGGAAAGAGAGACAGAGAGAGAGACAGAGAGAGAACCTCAAGTAGGCTCTATGCTCAGCCCGATGCTGGGCTCTGAAGCCATGAACCGTGAAATCATGGCCTGAGCCAAAATCCAGAGTCAGACGCCTACCGGACTGAACCACCAGGTGTCTCTGGATACCCAATAGTTTAATGTTTCAGTTCTATTCAAGTACATCTAGAAACTCAACACAATACCAATCCAAATCCCAGGAGGAATGTTTGTAAAAATTGACAGACTTAAATTTATATAGCCAAAGCAATTTATTTATTTTAGTTTATTACATTTTTTTTTAATGTTCACTTATTTTTGAGAGAGAGGGAGACAGAGGGTGAGCAGGGGAGGGGCAGAGAGAGAGAGAGGGAGACACAGAATCTGAAGCAGGCTCCAGGCTCTGAGCCGTCAGCACAGAGCCTGATGCGGGATCGAACTCACGGACCATGAGATCATGACCTGAGCCAAAGTCAGAAGCGTAACTGACTGAGCCACCCAGGCACCCCTATATAGCCAAAGCAACTTGGAAACATTGGGAAAATAAAAATGTATACTACTAATATTAAGACTTATTATAAATCTACAAAAATTATAACAGTGTGATATAAGCAGAATGATTAGGCATATAGATCAATGGAATGAAAGAGAGATTTGATTCCACACTGTATGATTGACTGGTTTTTCAGTAAAGGTGCCAAGGTCATTCCGTAGGAAAGGTACAGACCTTTCAACAAATAGTGCTAAAAACCAAGCATCCATGTGGGGGGAGATGATATAGAAAATCTACTTTGAACTGAATGTTTGTGTCCCCCCCACATTTAACCCCTGTTAAAGTCTTAATCCTCCCCATGTGGAGAGGAGCCTCTAAAGAAGTAATTAAAGTCAAATGGGGTCCTGATCTAACAGGATCAACGTCCATATAAGAAGAGACCTACGAGAGATACCTATTAACGGTCTGAGCCCTCTGAACTTGCGAACACAAGGAAAGGTCACGTGAAAACATAGCAAGAAAGCAGTGTCTACAAGCCAGGAAGAGAGTTCTCACCAGAAACCAAATTGGTTGGAACCTCGATTTTGCACTCCTAGCCTCCAGAACTGTGAGAAAAGAAACTTCTGTTGTTTAAGCAACCCAGTCTGTGGTATTTTGTTACGACAGCTCTAGCTGACTAATAATATCCACATGGACAAAAAGGAACCATGACCCTTATATTATACCATACGCAAAAATTAACTGAAAGAAACAGATTATAGAACGAATATAAAAGTGGGGCACCTGGCTAGCTCAGGCGGTAGAGGGTGCAACTCTCAATCCCGGGGTTGTGAGTTCAAGCCCCACGTTGAGAGTGGGGATTACTTAAAACTTACTTTCAAGTCACTTAAAAATTACTCTTAAGGGGCGCCTGGGTGGCTTAGTCGGTTAAGCGTCCGACTTCGGCTCAGGTCATGATCTCGCAGTTTGTGGGTTCGAGCCCCGCGTCGGGCTCTGGGCTGACAGCTCAGAGCCTGGAGCCTATTTCAGATTCTGTGTCTCCTTCTCTCTGTGACCCTCCCCCGTTCATGCTCTGTCTCTCTCTGTCTCAAAAATAAATAAACGTTAAAAAAAAAATTAAAAAAAAATTACTCTTAAGTTATTTTAAAATACTTAAAAAGAAAAATCTTCAAAAACCCAGAAAGCTGAAAACTGAAACTATTTTCCTGTCCTTCGAGTAGGCACTAATTTTACAGACGATCCACAAAACACTAACCATAAAAAAAAAATTGACAAATTGTGTTTCATTAAAGTGGAGAACTTCTTTTCTTCAGAAGAGACACCATTAAGGAAATGAAAAGGCAAGTGTGTTTACATATATAACAAAGGAATTGTATCCACAATGTATAAAGAACTCTTATAACTCAGAAGACAAACAACCCGTCAGAAATGGATAAAATGCTCAGACTTTAGAAAAGAAGATATGTAAATAACTAATGAGCACGTGAAAAGATGGTCAACATCAGGACAATGCTAGTAAAAATCACAATTAGATACTACCATACCCACAAAAATGATTGCTACTTTAAGAGCTGACACTCCCAAAGGCTGAAACTCTCGCACCCTCTTGGTGGGAATGTGAACTGGTATAAACATTTGGCATTTTCTTGAGTTAAATATATGCTTACCTACTTGATCCAGCAATTCAACTGCCAGATTCTTTTTTTTTTTTTTTTTAAGTGTTTAGTTATTCTTGAGAGAGAGAGAGAGAGACAGAGTGTGAGTGGGGGAGGGTCAGAGAGGGAGGGAGACACAAAATTTGAAGTGGGCTCCAGGCTCCGAGCTGTCAGCACAGAGCCCGACGCGGGGCTCAAACCCACAAACCACGAGATCGTGACCTGAGCCGAAGTCGGACATTTAACTGTTGGAGCCACCTAGGCGCCTCAGGTGTCTTTTTTTTTTTTTTTTTAATATTTATTTATTTTGAGAGAGAGATAAAGTGTGAGCAGGGGAGAGGCAGAGAGAAAGGGAGAGAGAATCGCAAGTAGGCTCCATGCTATCAGTGCAGATCCCAAGTGTGGGGCTCCATCCCTAACAATGAGATCATGAGCTGAGCCCAAACCAAGAGTTGGATAGACGCTTAGCTGACTAAGCCACCAGGCACCCTTCTCTGACTGATTCTTTTGCATCACTCTCATAAGGGTACTTTTGATTAGATTGGGACCACACAGGATGGGATAATCTTTTCACCTCAAGATCCTTAACTTAACCACACCTGCAAAGTCCCTTATGCCATTGTAACGTACCATATTATAAGGTTCTAGGTGTTATGATGTGGCCATCTCTGGGGGGGGTTGGTATTCTACTTAGCACCCACATAACTTTTAAACACTTGGCTCCTGGGGCGCCTGGGCGGCTCAATTGGTTAAGCATCCGACTCTTGATTTCAGCTCAGGTCGATTTCACGGTTCGTGAGTTTGAGCCCTGCCTTGGGCTGTTCACTGACAGCACAGAGTCTGCTTGGGATTCTTTCTCTCTCCCTCGTTCTCTATCCCTTCCTCTGCTCATGCTCTGTCTCTCTCTCTCTCAAAAAAAAAAAAAAATCAAGAAAGAAAACTTAAAAGCAAAAAAAAAAAAAAATAAGAAACACTTGGATTCTGAAGGACCTTCATTTATGAGGTGGCACTTCTGCCCTTTCTTCGTAACTCTTTTTTTGATTTTTTAAAATGTTTATTCATTTTGAGAGAAAGAGAGAGAGAGAATGTGATTGAGGAAAGGAGACACAGAATCCGAAGCAGGCTCTCAGCTCTGAGCTGTCAGCACAGAGCCTGACAGGGGGGCTTGAACTCACAATCCCAAGATCGTGCCCTGAGCTGGAGTCAGATGCTCAACCGACTGAACCACCCAGGTGCCCCTCTTCTTCATAACTCTTTAACCGCCACTCAAACAACTGCTTTGTCTTGTGGAGGCTCTACTCTGACTTTCATAATTAAGGAAGATCTTATATGTAGGGGCTTAGGTATAATAGGGGTGGATGGTCCTTGAGATTCAGAGTTCAGAAGCTCTAGTTATGAGACCCTAGAGGGAGGGAGCCCTGGGTCTTGAAAATGCCCTCAATTCTGGGAGTGTGTGCTGAGCCTCAGAGATGCATGAGCCAGGGTTCAGGCAACAGGAGGCAACGGCAGTCTGGAGCACAGTATTCACTTCCTCAAGAAGGATGAGAAAGCAGGAGTGGACCTGGCCGTACACTTAACCTTAGCTTCAAAACGGAAGAGGGATCACCAAAGACGTAATTAGACGCACTAATTACCCAACTCAGAGGCCAAAGTCCTCCTGATTTTGCATCTCTCGGTGCCCCTCCCCGTTCCAACAAGATTGGGGGCAAAGAACAAAATAAGAGGAAGTTAGAAATAAGTAAATAATCGCTCAAGATATAAGCAAATGGTCGCTCAAGTAAAGAAGTAAGTAAGTAATCCTCAGTGTCTGCACCAGGTAACGTTGAAAGCCTTCAGATTCTACAAACCCGTCGGTTCTCTCTTCCCTTTGTTCTTCCTTCGCGCTCTCTGATGAGGAATGATTGATCAGTCTTGCCTGACCCTTCATTTTTAAAAGAGGGAAACGTTCCTAAATTCAGAGGTTTCCGGGGAAGAACTTGGAAATGCGGATATCCCCGGTGATTTACTCTACAGAATCCTAAGCTTTCTTATCAACACATTGATGTGAACTCCCCACACCTCCTTCCCTCTTAATCTGCTCACTGTTTGCACGGTCGAGATACCCGGCAATTGCCGGAGACTCAGGACTGAGTCATCCTCTGCCCCAGCCAGGTATCAGCGGCCACACCTATGATGTCCAGGCGTGTTGTTGGTAAGAGTGATCAGCACAATATACGGTTCCGGGGGGAGAAGTCCAGTGACAGAGCACCATGGCTTCTGACAAAGGTAAAACGGACCGGGGGGCCTGGCAAGCTCTATATTCATGAAAAGGCAGATATTCTGTGTGTGTGTGTGTGTGTGTGTGTGTGTGTATGTGTGTGTGTGTCCTGCCTGTGCTTGTGTCCTTGAGCGTTTTTCAACTTTCCTGTGTGTTAATATATTCATACGACTCTTAAACGGGATTTATTATTATTCTTAATACTAACTGTTCACATCCACAAATGATTTTGATCAAATGACACCAAATCGATGCTTGTTTCACCGTAATAAAATGTTCAGTGAAAAATACAACTGTTAAATAACAGTTTAAAAAATAGCAGCGGGGCCGCCCGGGTGGCTTAGTCGGTGTCTGACTCTTGATTTGGGCTCAGGCTCAGATTTCGCAGTTCATGCGATTGAGCTCCACGTCGGGCTCTGCACTGACAGTAAGGAGCCTGTTTAGGATTCTCTCTCTCCTTCTCTCTCTGCCCCTCCCCCATTCATTCTCTCTCTCTCTGTGTCAAAAATTAATTTAAAAAATAAGTACATGAAGTTAAAAAAAAGAAAGTCTTTTTTTTAAATGTTTATTTTTGAGACAGAAAAAGACAGAGTATGAGCAGGGGGGTGGGGCAGAGAGAGAGAGAGAGAGAGAGAGAGGGAGACACAGAATCCGAAGCGGGCTCCAGGCTCTGAGCTGTCAGCACAGAGCCCTACAACGGGGCTCGAACCCACGAATTGTGAGATCACGACCTGAGCCGAAGTCAGACGCTTAACTGACTGAGCCGCCGAGATGCCCCTCTTAGCTGTTTCTTTTGACTCTCTGCCCTCCCCAGCTCTGTTTCTGTCTCTGTCTCTCTCTCTCTCAAAAATAAACAAGAATTAAAAAAAAAAAAAGGCGCACGCTTTACCTACTCAGCCAGCCAGGCACCCCAAAAGTACGTCTATATTAAGCCAGTGGTGCCCCGGCTTCTCTCCATACTGCTAAATACTTTGAGATAATCAAAGTTTAAAAGTTTAAAAACGTGCAGCTTTAAGAATAATAGAGAGGTTCCTTATACACTTTGCTCAGTTCCCCCCAATGGTTATGTTTTGCAAAACTATAGAATAATCTCACAACCTATGGCTTCTCAGCCTGTGGCTAAGATCAAGTGTAGAATAATATCACAACCAGAATACTAACATTGACACAATCCACCTATTTTATTCAGATTTCTCCAGTTGCACTTGTAGTCATTTATGTGCATTTAGTTTTTTCTTTCTTTTTTTTAATGTTTATTTCTTTGTTTTGAATTTTTAAAAAATGTTTATTTATTTTAGAGAGAGAGAGAGGGAGACAGAGCATGAGCAGGAGTTGGGGGGGGGGAGGGGGTTGCGCAGAGAGAGGGAGACACAGAATCCAAAGCAGGTTCCAGGCTCTGAGCTGTTCGCACAGAGCCTGACGTGGGGCTCGAACTCACAAACCGTGAGATCGTGACCTGAGCTGCAATCAAGTCGGCTGCTTAACCGACTGAGCCACCCAGGCGCCTCTGTGTGTATTTAGCCGTAGGCAATTTTGTCACCTGCAGAGGTCTGTGTTTTCACCACCATGATCATTCCAACAGTACAGAGATATTTTGTTGCCCTTTTATAACCGAACCCTCCTTCCTCCTGCCCCACCCCTGTTCTTAATTCTTGAGAACCACTGATCTGTCCTCACTTCTAAAATTTTGCCACTCAAAATGTTAGACAAATGGAATCATGCAGACTGCAACTTTTTGAAATTGCTCCCCCCTCCCCCAGCATAATTCCTTGGAGATTCATCCAGGTTATTACATGTATCAATAGTTGGTTCCTTTTTATTGCTAAATTCCATTCCATTTACCACGGATTGTTTAACATCTGGACGTCTAGGTTGATGCCAGTCTTTAGATATTACAAATCAAAGCGATAGAAACATTTGCATACAGCCTTCGTGGGAGCCTACATTTTCGTGTCTCTGAGATAAATGCCCAGGATGCAGTTGCTGGGTTATATGGCAGTTGCATTTTCAATTATTGTTGTTGCTTTTATTTTTTTTTTAATTTTTAATTAATCTTTATTTAATTTTATTTTTTTTTAACGTTTATTTATTTTTGAGACAGAGAGAGACAGAGCAGGAGACAGAGCATGAACGGGGGAGGGTCAGAGAGAGGGAGACACAGAATCTGAAACAGGCTCCAGGCTCTGAGCTGTCAGCACAGAGCCCGACGCGGGGCTCGGACTCTCAGACCGCAAGATCATGACCTGAGCCGAAGTCGGCCGCTTAACCAACTGAGCCACCCAGGCGCCCCTCTTTTTTTTATTTTAGAGAGAGAGCGTGGGGGAGGGGCTGAGAGAGGGGAAAAGAGAGAATCCCAAGCCAGCTCCCCACTCAACGTGGAGTCTGAAGCAGACTCCCACAACCCTGAGATCATTACCTGAACTGAAATCAGGAGTCAGAGGATGGACCAACGGAGCTACCCAGGTTTTTAATACAGAAAAGGAATAAGGTTGTTGTTTTCTTTTTTTTTTTATTTAAAAAATTTTTTTAACGTTTTATTTATTTTTGAGACAGAGCATGAACAGGGGAGGGTCAGAGAGAGGGAGACACAGAATCCGAAACAGGCTCCAGGCTCTGAGCTGTCAGCACAGAGCCCGACGCGGGGCTCGAACTCACGGACCACGAGATCATGACCTGAGCCGAAGTCGGCCGCTTAACCGACTGAGCCACCCAGGCGCCCCGGTTGTTGTTTTCAATTAAGAAACTTCTGGGACACCTGGGTGTCAGTTGAGCAACCAACTCTTGATTTCAGCGCAGGTCATGATCTCTCATTTGTGAGGTCGAGCCCTGCATTAGGCTCCTCACTGAGCACGGACCCTGCTTGGGATCTCTCTCTGCCCCTATCCTCTCTCAAAATAAATAAGTAAACTTTAAAAATAAAAATAAAATAATAATAATGACTAAGAAACTGCCTGTTTCCTGGAGTGGCTGTGCCAGTTTATGTTCCCACCAACAACGTATGAGAGAGCCACTCTCTCCGCATAATATTGTTCTCTGTCTCTTAGTTCCTCTGTGTATATATTTAGGTATCCCATAATTGATAGTAGTGAGACTCGTTCAGTCATTTGTTCAATAAATATCTACTGCCAACACGTTTCAGGCAGTGTGATGATAGAGTCTAGAACAAGATATTCATAATCCGTATCTCACATAATTTATAATTCATTGTTATTATGGTCGTGTAAATACCAATCAAAATATAGCATGATATGGGAATGCAAACTGGTGCAGCCACTCTGGAAAACAGTATGGAGGTTCTTCAAAACATTCAAAATAGAACTACCCTACGACCCAGCAATTGCACTACTAGGGATTTATCCAAGGGATACAGGGGTGCTGTTTTGAAGGGGCACATGCACCCCCATGTTTATAGCAGCACGATCGACAATAGCCAATGTATGGAAAGAGCCCAAATGTCTATCGATGGATGCATGGATAAAGAAGGTGTGGTAAATATATACAATGGAGTATTACCTGGCAATCAAAAAGAATGAAATCTTGCCATTCGCAACTACGTGGATGGAACTGGAGGGTATTATGCTAAGTGAAATTAGTCAGTCAGAGAAAGACAAAAATCATATGACTTCACTCATATGAGGACTTTAAGAGACAAACCAGATGAACATAAGGGAAGGGAAGCAAAAATAATATAAAAACAGGGAGGGGGACAAAACATAAGAGACTCTTAAATATAGAGAACAAACTGAGGGTTGCTGGAGGGGTTGTGGGAGGGGGGTGGGCTAAATGGGTAAGGGGTATTAAGGAAGTCACTTGGGATAAGCACTGGGTGCTTATACCTAGATATAACTTATACCTACCTTATACCTAGTGATACCTAGGTGTAACTGGGTGTCATAGCTAGGGGATGAATCACTGGAATCTACTCCTGAACTCGTTGTGGCACTCTATGTTAACTAACTTGGATGTAAATTAAAAAATAAATAAAATATAAGAAAGATAGCTCCATAAAATATATATATATATATATATATATATATACATATATATATATATGTAACATGATAATTGTTGTGACGAAGGACGTACAAGGTGCTGTGGAAGCAGGTAGAAATTACACATAGGAGCCTCTGAGGAATGACTGTCTCATTGCACTCGATCATTCTTGCTGGAGCCTGAAGGAGGATTTTCTGGTTTGGGATTGGGCAAATAGATTTTTGGCAGAGCCCTTAAAAATGTGCCTTTTCTTGAGGGTCCAATCCAATTAATATAGGAGAGACTCTTTTAACCTCATTTTCTTTTTTTTTTTAAATTTTTTTTTTAATGTTTATTCATTTTTGGGACAGAGAGAGACAGAGCATGAATGGGGGAGGGGCAGAGAGAGAGGGAGACACAGAATCGGCAGGCTCCAGGCTCCGAGCCATCAGCCCAGAGCCCGACGCGGGGCTCGAACTCACGAACCGTGAGACTGTGACCTGAGCTGAAGTTGGACGCTCAACCGACTGAGCCACCCAGACGCCCCTTAACCCCATTTTCTGATATGGTTTGCAGGTTTAGAAAAACCGAGTATTTTTCTGAGCTAAATATGTGTGTGGGTGTTATTTGACATAATCGTCTCTTGGTCAACAGGGTCTTCCGCTGGAGATGCCACCTTGAGGTAAGACTGATATTATCATAGGAGCACCTGGGTGGCTCAGTTGGTTAAGCATCCGAGTGCAGATCAGGTAATGATCTCACAGTTGGTGAGTTCAAGCCCCGCATCAGGCTCTGGGCTGACCGCTCAGAGCCTGGAGCCTGCTTTGGATTCTGTGTCTCCTCTCTCTGCCTTTCCTCTGCTCTCTCTCTGCCTCTCTCCAAAATAAATAAACATTAAAAAAAAAGAAGAAAAGAATACTACCATAGTGAGCATTTAATTCAGCAAGAAAAGGTGGATTTAAGAGCTGTAGGACTATAGCTTTCCATATTTTTCCTTTCTTGTTGTATCATGTTCCCACTCTTTCCTTTTGCCTTTTTTTCTTTTTTTTTAATTTTATTTTTTACATTTATTTATTTATTTTTGAGAGAGAGAGAGAGAGAGAGAGAGAGAGAGAGAGACAGAGCACAAGCAAGGGAGGGGCAGAGACAGAGAAGGAGACACAGAATCCGAAGCAGGCTCCAGGCTCTGAGCTGTCAGCACAGAGCCCGATGCGGGGCTCGAACCCACAAACCACGAGATCATGACCTGAGCCGAAGTCGGACGCTCAACCGACTGAACCACCCAAGCGTCCCACCTTTTGCCTTTTCTAACTTCATTCTCTATAACTATTGCTTTTTTTAAAAGTTTATTTTTTTATTTTGAGAGAGAGAGAGCACACACACGAGCTAGGGGCTGGGGGCAGACAGAGAGAATCCCAAGCAGGCTCGATGCGGAGCCTGCTGTGGGCCCACGAGTTGGATGCTCAGCTGACTGAGCCACCCAGGCGCCCTATGATTATTGCTTCCTATATCTTTGTTTGTATGTCTTTTGGTTTCTGTTTAAATAAATTACCTTCCAGCTTTGTTCTGTTACTGTTTTATCTTCATACTTCTCTGTTTAAATCACATGACTTGATAGCCATTAGCGAAAGGTCCAGAGAACTCATTTGTCACTTTGAGTTCATCTGTTTATTTTATACTATGTTCCCATTTTTCAGACGTAGCATTAAAACAGGGGGACTTTTGTCAGGGAATAAATTATCTCACGATGGGTGGGAGGACTGATCTACGTGGTCAATAAATGTAATACTTTAGGGATGAGTGGAAATGTTGGGATGTAATACGCTGATGACTCAACCATATGGCAAAGAAGAGTACTCATCACGATCTTGAGTTTCCCCTGAGTTACAGCTCTGAGACGTGGAAAGTATTAAATCTACAGATGTCATTGGGAGGGGCGCCTGGCTGGCTCCGTCAGTGGAGCGTGTGACTCTTGGTCTTGGTGTGGTAAGTCTGAGCCCCACACTGGGTGTAGAGACTGTTAAAGACAAAAATCTTTAAAAAATAAATAAATAAAGATGCCACGGGGAGCAATTTGAATTTTTTTCTTATGAGGAATTAGTATGCAGAATTTCATGCCGAGGAATCCTGAGGCTTCTTCTCTCTTCAGGCTTGGCAATAGAATCTTGTTGGCCGTTTGAGGCTCCTACCTAAAATTTAGAGTCCACTGAGGAACGTTGAGGTGTAGGGATTGGAACGTGGCGTCTCTACATATTTATGCCGGAATTCAAAACTACCAAGCAACGGTATAGAGAGAGCGGTAACTCCATGACGTGAGGTGGGAAAACTCTCTTCACTATGCTTGTGAGAGAAACTCTGATGATTCAGACAGGCCCACCTAGATAACTTTGGGAGACAGATTAGAAAAGAAAATGTCCTGAGATGTCATGTTTGAGATCTGTGTGATGGGAGAGGGGAACATGAAATCGTTCCTAGGGTCCCTCTAAAGGCTGCCTGATAGCATGGGGGCGCTTTTTGTGTTTCAGGAGAAGAATTGAACCCCGGGAGTTCGAAGTCTTCTTTGACCCCAGAGAACTCCGCAAAGAGGCCTGTCTGCTCTACGAAATTAAGTGGGGCACAAGCCGTAGGGTCTGGCGAAGCTCGGGCAGAAACACCGCCCACCACGTTGAGCTCAATTTTATAGAAAAATTTACTTCAGAGAGGCATTTTTGCCCCTCCGTCAGCTGTTCCATCACCTGGTTCCTGTCCTGGAGTCCCTGCTGGGAATGCTCCAAGGCTATCAGAGGCTTTCTGAGCCAACACCCTAGCGTGACTCTGGTTATTTATGTATCTCGGCTCTTCTGGCACCTGGATCAACAAAACCGGCAAGGACTCAGGGACCTCGTCGACAGCGGTGTCACCGTCCAGGTTATGAGGGTCCCAGGTAAAAACAACAAGCAGAGGACCTTAAGTGTTGACGCGAGACTGTGCTGGTAGCACGTTTCTAGGCCAGAGGAGTGGCCTATCCCACTTCGGAAGTCTCCGAAGTGAAAGCCTGGGGGCGCCCGGGGGGCTCAGTCCGGTTAAGTGTCTGACTTGGGCTCAAGCAGTTCGTGAGTTCGAGCCCGGCATGGGGCTCTCTGCTGTCAGCACAGAACCTGCTTCAGATCCTCTGTCTCTGTCTCTGTCTCTCTCTCTCTCTGTCTCTCTCCTAAATAAATAAACAAACTTGAAAGAGTGCCTGGCTAGCTCGGTTAAGTGTCCAACTTTGGCTCAGGTCATGATCTGGCAGTTCGTGGGTTCAAGCCCTGCCTCAGACTCTGTCCTGACAGCTTGGATTCTGTGTTTCTCTCTTATCTCTGCCCTTCCCCCACTGCCGCTCTGTCTCTTTCTATCTCTCAAAAATGAATAAATGTTTAAAAAAAAAAAAAAGAAGAAGAAGAAGCGAATGTCCAGAATAACATGAGAAAGAACCAGGTCTGATATTCACAGCAAGGAAAATATGAAAAAGAGGGCTCTCTTCTCCATGCCTGCACCTGCCATGGTGACCCGTCAGCCATCTTGGAATAAACTATGTTGTTCTTTTCAGGGATTCAGGGGGATGGTTAGTCCATCTCCAACAGCAAATAGGCTGACGGGTTTTATATAACGTGTATCTACAAGCTGGGCTCTCTTTAAAGTAACTTTCTGCTCTGTTAGCTGAATGAACCAAGATTTGTGTCTCCTTAGAGTATGATCACTGCTGGAGGAATTTTGTCAACTACCCACCTGGGGAAGAAGATCACTGGCCCAGATACCCTGTTGTATGGATGAAGCTGTATGCGCTGGAACTGCACTGCATAATTCTAGTAAGTTATTTTATTTTATTTTATTTTATTTTATTTTATTTTATTTTATTTTATTAGGTTTTGTTTACTTAAGTAATCTCTACACCCAACACAGGGCTCGAACCTATGACCCTGAGATCAACACTTGCATGATCCTCCAACTGAGCCAGCCAGGAGCCCCTCTAGTCGGTCACATTAAGGGACAAAGATTATGATACCAAAAGAAACATCCTTCTTCAAACTTCTTTTTTTTTTTATTTAAAAAAAATTTTTTTTTCAACGTTTATTTATTTTTGGGACAGAGAGAGAGACAGAGCATGAACGGGGGAGGGGCAGAGAGAGAGGGAGACACAGAATCGGAAACAGGCTCCAGGCTCCGAGCCATCAGCCCAGAGCCTGACGCGGGGCTCGAACTCACGGACCGCGAGATCGTGACCTGGCTGAAGTTGGCCGCTTAACCGACTGCGCCACCCAGGCGCCCCTTCTTCAAACTTCTTTTCTGATAAATTGATAGGTCTTTTCTTCACCATCTCTTTGTCATTTGTATTGAAATTTATTTAACTTCTTGACGTACCTTAAGAAAGTGTGAGAATGGGGCATCTGAAGGGTTCAGTCAGACTCCTGATTTTGGCTTTTGGCTCAGGTCATGACCTCACGGTTGGTGAGACCGAGCCCCTCATCCGGCTCTGGGCTGACAGCGTGTGGCCTGCTTGGGATTCTCTCTCTTCCTCTCTTTCTGCCCCTCCCCCCCCTCTGTCTCAAAATAAATAAGTAAACTTAAAACAAACAAAAAAGAAAATGCGAGAAGAGCAAGACAATCTCTGTAGGAAATAAATGAGAGAAGGGAACAGGTAAACTGGTTAAGATATACATGGACTCCACATTAACTTGATATTATTATTATTATTATTATTATTATTACAACACTTACTGGCTCTACCGAATTCCAGATATTCTCTTTTCCTATATTGATGTGTGTCATCCTATTGAAGAAATGTACGTGTCCCATTTGTATTCTCTTGAAAGTTGCTCAATAAACTTCCAACTAATGTTTCAAAATGTTTGTGGTTACAATAGTATCAAGAAAAACATTATTCTTTTTTTTCCTTCCAGAGTCTCCCTCCTTGCTTAAAGATTTTAAGAAGATGTCAGAATCAGCTTACATTGTTCAGACTTACTCTTCAAAATTGCCATTACCAAATGATTCCCCCCCACGTCCTTTTAGCTACAGGATTGATACAACTTCCTGTGACTTGGAGATGAATGGAATGATTCCTTGTGGGGCACCTGGGTGGTTCAGCTGATTGGGCGTCCAACTTCAGCTCAGGTCATGATCTCACGGTCCGTGAGTTCAAGCCCCGCGCGGGGCTCTGTGCTGACAGCTCAGAGCCTGGCACCTGCTTCCGATTCTGTGTCCCTCTCTCTGCCCCTCCCTGCCTCATGCTCTGTCTGTCTCTCTCTCTCTCTCAAAAATTAAAAAAAAAAAAAAAAAAAAAAAGAATGATTCCTGCGTACTCTGTTTCAGTAGCAGGCACTGATGCCCCACGAAAAAGAGAATGCCATTGGAATGTAGAAATTTTCAGCTTGTGTTTCTATACACCATATATCTGAAGGAAATAAAATCACTATCTCAAAGAGGTATCTGCACCCCATGTTCATTGCAACATTGCCTACAATAGCCAAGACATGCAAACAACCTAAGTGTCCCTCACCAGGAATGGATAAAGAAGATGTGATGTGTATTACACACACACACACACATGCACACACGCACACCTGTAACTATGAGGTGATGAATGTGTTTACTCACCTTATTGTAGTAATCAGTTTGCAATATATATTATATCAAATTATTATGTTGTACACCTTAAACTTACACAACATTGTATGTTACTACGTCTCAATAATGCTGAAGGGGAAAAAAGAGATTAAAAAAAGAATCTAGGGGGGCGCCTGGGTGGCTCAGTCGGTTAAGCGGCAGACTTCGGCTCATGTCATGATCTCGCGGTCCGTGAGTTCGAGCCCCACGTCGGGCTCTGTGCTGACCGCTCAGAGCCTGGAGCCTGTTTCCGATTCTGTGTCTCCCTCTCTCTGACCCTCCCCTGTTCATGCTCTGTCTCTCCCCGTCTCAAAAATAAATAAAACGTTAAAAAAATTAAAAAAAAAAAGAATCTAGGAATTTTAACAAACAGTAGTATCACAGATCGTGTCATCCACTGCTGTATCACAAATTATTCTAGTACTTTGTGGCTTAAAACAACAGTAAATATTTATTATGTCAGCTTCACCAGGAATTCGGCACATTCACATGGGTGGAAAGTAGAGGCTAGTGGTTGATGGGAGGTCTGTTCCTTGCCATGTAGGTAGCCCTCGCCACAGGGCTGCTCAGCTGTCCTCACGACCTGACACCAGGCTTTCTACAGAGCAAGCATCTAAGAGAGACCAAGGTGGAAATTGCCGTATCTTTAATGCCTGAGTCTTGGAATCATACGCTATTTCTTCTGCAGTCTTCTATCGGTAACACCAGCCAGCCATGATTCAATGTGGGAGGGGACTACGAGGGCTTGGATCCCAGGAGATGAGAATAATTGGAAGCCATCTTGGGTTTTAGCGGTAGGGACTTTTGCTGTGTGTGTTTAGGACAAACAATTTCATGAAGCCAATTTCTAAGATGCTCAAGGGAAACAAAGAACAAGTTTTTATTGGATTCTGACTCAGAACATCCTAAGACTTAACAGACGATCTATTAGCCCAAATTTATAGGATGATGTACTGTTGTAATTAGCAGCCTTTTAAACTTGGAGCAGTTATACACAAAAAAGGGTTATTTCTTGCTCACACTGAAGCCTAATGTAAATCGGGTGAGGATGTTCTTGCTGCCTGCAGTTACTCAGGGACCCAGATTCCTTCCATCTGGTGACTCCACCATCTCCTATGGCCTTGGAACTCTCTACGGAATTCTCCACATTCGGCCATCTCATAGGAGACAGCATACACAGGAGGGGACAGAGAAGAGACAAGAAAGCGTTAAGCTGCACGAAAGAGTGTTTTTAGAATCAAGGACTGGATATGGCAAACGTCACTTTTGACCCAATTCCACTAACCAAAAATCAATCGTGTGGCTCCACCCAGCTCTAAGAAAGACAGAAACACAGTCCAGGAGGAGAAGAAAATGGAGTTTTGGGAACATATAAAGTGCTTGCCGCATGAAGAGACTAGGAAGCTGAAATATTATACAATTTAGCCGGGGTCAGACAAGGAACACCGTGGGGCTAAAAGTCAGTGTGCTTTTTTAAAAAATTACTTAAGTTTTAAAACATTTTGTTTGAGCACTCAGGATACACCAGTAACTAGGATCTCCCCAGTTTTCATAATGGAGTCAGACTGGCTCAGTCACTTGCTCACTTGTCTTCCTGGGTTGGCGTGGAGATACAAGGCAGTCTTTTGGGAGGCCAAAAGAGGGGCTGGGAACTTATTAGGTATCTCAGTGAAGCCTGTCTAAGCATTTTTTTTTAAACTACTGTGAAAGTTGGGGCACCTGGGTGGCTCAGTTGGTTAAGCGACTGACTTCGGCTCAGGTCGTGATCTCACAATGTGTGGGTTCGAGCCCCACATAGGGCTCTGTGCTGACCGCTTGCTCGGAGCCTGGACCCTGCTTCAGATTCTGCATCTCCCCTTCCCCCCTCACGCTTTGTCTCACTGTTTCTCAAAAATAAATAAAGGTAAAAAAAAAAAAAAACCAACCCAGGGTCCACAAAGCTTCAGATGAGTTTGAGTTAGCTGGATGAGAAAGAAAACTAAGGAGAAGGCTGGCGGGTTGGGAAAAGTCAGAATGGTCAACCAACTGGAAATCTCGATAGGATCATTAAATAGGGATCGTGGGCGTATTTGAACAATCAAGCTTGAAGAATAGTATGTGACGGTCAGACACCGAACGGATTAACTATTTTGAAAGCAGAGTAGCTGCAGTTGATAATGTCGCTGAGGGTGTGACCAAGCAAGCCTGTGGTTGAGTCAGAACAGAAAAGTAGAAAGGCGGAGGAGGTCAAGTAACTGAGGGGTAAGCCCCCATTGTTGTCTTGCTGTTTGGTTGGTGTTCTTACGGGTTTCAGAACTTTTCTTGGTGTTCTCACAGGTTTCTTTGAGTGGTAGATGAGCTTTAGAATAATTTTGTGGAATTCTTAAAGGTCTGTTCGAATTTTTCAAAATGTCATTAATGAGGCTGTAAATGCCAGATAAAAAAGGCACTTCGTCTTTTATTTTCCAGTCATGTGGTGCTGTCACCTGGTCCATTTCTTCCCAGCCAAGTTTCTCGGAATAATAGTGTATACTCATTATTTTATTTACTTTATTACTTTATTACTTTATTTACTTTATTTACCTTTTGCTCTTCCACTCCTTTGGAAAACCTACGCTAAGGACATCGATAGACGGTCTTCGGTCTTTTTCTTCCTTTACATATTTGCAGAGATTGAGTAAAACCAATTAGGGAGCACAGTCGTGACTAAAACAGAGCCTACCTTTGCTTTCATGGTGCTCAAAATATTAGTTTTCTCATACTATAAAAACACACTTCTCCGAAGATCTCATCCATTTCCGTGGCTTTAACCACCACCCATAATCAGAAGTGATCGTCATAATATATTAACAAATGATATCATCCAAGCACCAAGTTAATCAGAACAGAGCACCAGCCATTCAGATAGCTAGTCTGGTTGCACTGTTATGTTCACTGGATATTAGCCCAAACGATAATATATAAATTTTATATGATAACATGATGTCTGGTAGTTAAGAGAACAAACTGGAGCCTCCAGACTGCTCAAATTCTGGGTCTTACTTCCTGCCGTGTGACATGGGGCAAGTTACTTCACCTGTTTGCTTCCATTCCCTCCTCCAAATGGGGATAATAAAGTACTTATATCATAGGGTCACTAGGAGAATCGAATGAGATTTACACGGAAAGCATTTAGAACACCCTGGACTATAATAAGCACTCAATAGACGAAAGGTATTATTATTCATTATTCTACAACTATGCCTCCAATCCTGATTTTTTTCTCCTTGAGCTTCAAAATTCCAGATTAAGTGTTTCTCCCTCCCCCCAGCCCCCCAATTATACCATGGATGTTTGGGAAACCTACAAGTTTCAGTATAATTAGTAGAGGTAGCTTTGTAAATAAGTAGGGGCGAACAAATTTTATAAATATTTGATTATATGTACTGGGTTGAATGGGGAAAATAATAAAAATAGCAAATATATACAGGACTCATCATGTACCAGGGACTGTTATAAGTTGTTTCTATATGTGAGCTCATTTACATATACATAATATATGTAGCAACTGTCCCATCAAGTAAGTACTATTATTTTTCCCATCTTATAAATGAGAAAACAAGCCCAAAAAGTTCAAATGATTTGACCATGGTCACATAGCTGCTACGTTTTAAATGACTCTGCCTCCAGAGTTTAAGTTCCTTGTCATCATGCCAGTATGCTGCCTCACTTAAACAGGAAGCAGTTGTTTGTGACAAAAAGAGCATTTCCTACAGCTTTCTTTACATATCAGATCTATTTCCCTCCGGAGTTTACAATTCAAAAATATCCCCCTGCTAGTTAATATAACCGTATATCCTTTCATTATATCTGAGATCAGTACCCTAACAGTGACTCATTGTTTGACCTAATATATATATATATATGTTTATGTATTTATTTTGAGAGGGATAGAGAGTGAGCAGGGGAGGGGCAGAGAAAGAGGGAGACAGAATCCCAAGCAGACTCTGCACCGTCAGCACGGAGCCCAGCGCCGAGCTCGAACGAACTCACAAACCGTGAGATCATGACCTGGGCCAAAGTCGGATGCTTAACCAACTGAGCCACCCAGGCACCCCTTGATCTAACATTTCTAAACGTCGGATCCTTTATCATGAAAGATATACTCTTTAATGTGTAAAGTTAGTTTTCCGAGACAGAACCATTTCCGTGTGCTTAGAAAGCCCTGCTTCATCGCCTAATTATTAAAGAGAAAACGAACACCATAGAAACCCAAGTCAAAGCTGCAGACAAGGGAACCAACAAACTGGGGGAGTCACTTCCTGAAAAACTACCTTCTCATCCCAGAACACGCAGATGTGTGTACCTGTGTTACACACTCAGATAATAATTTTTGACCTGCCCATAAAAACGTACATAATTTTTACACAATATAATAGGAAGGATGCTATTCATGTTTCTTGTATTAACGATAGTCACTTGGCTTCACCCTATACTTGCTGAGAACCAGCATCTTCTGAAACTGGCAATGCAGTGTTTCCCAAACTTAAATCATCAGAGACTAAGTACA